TCTCTCTCTCTCTCTCTCTCTCTCTCTCTCTCTCTCCCCCTCTCTACCTTCCTTTTTTCTTTCTCTCTCTCTCCTACTTTTTTTTCCCCCTTTATCCTTTCCTCCGTTCATTCATCTAAATTTTATCTATACGATCACGCTTTTATTCTTTCTCTCGTCGAGTATTCTTTGAAGTATTCGAATTCGAGTTCGAGACGCGTGTTACGAGCGTGTTACGAGCACGAGACGATAGAACACGGACGGATGAGAGTAGCGTAAAAAAAAAAAGAAATTTGTTGCTGAAATTCGGGGAGATCGAGAATACAACGATTCGCTTGGACGGAATAAGGAGTTCGCAAACGATACGATACGATACGATACGATACGATACGATAGGCGGTCTGAAATGCTTATTCACCGCTACGGAATGAATAATGGACTGGTGGCAAAATACTGGTGGAGACATAAATATTGTATCTGGAACGCTATATATTACCTGTATCGAATACATTATCTAGATCGTTCTCCGTTCCCCTGTTCTGCCTCAGAGTTTCTATCTCAGATCGGGATCGTTGCTATGGGAATGCGTGTGATACACGGACTCCGTGTATCATACCCGATCTTCTCTCTTCGATTCTTCCCGATTCTTCGGCGGCGTTCTTTCGTTTCGATCACAACGCGATACACAACGGATTTTAATCCATCTCGTATCGCCATGCCAGTATGCGTGATCGTTTCGCATCGTCCGCCGATTTCGTTTCTTTCGATCGGAACGAGCGAAAGAGAGAAGAAACGGGGGGGGGGGAGAGGAGGGAGGGGGGAGGAGGAGGAACAGCGGAGGAGCGGAGAAATCCTGGAGGAGGAGGAGGAGGGGGAGGAGGTCGGTCGATGCGCGAGGAAACGCAATCATTTGCAATCCCGCGTAGAACCGCTTTCAAACTCTACGAAGGAATTTATTAAAGTTTGACTAAGTCGCTTTGCAAAGTTTCATCGAGGTGCACCGTCGAGGTACACCCAAGAGGTGTACCTTAAGATAGGAAAAGAGGAGAAGAGGAGATCGGCCAACCCAGTGGAGCGCCACGACGACGACGACGACGACGACGACGACGACGAGGACGACGACGAGGATGACGACGAGAACGACGACGATGGAACGGAGGGGAATCCTCTCGAAGAAGCGGGACGAATTGCCGAAAGAGAGGAAGGCGGAGGTTCGAGAGGAGGCGGGAGGAGCGGTTGAAATGAACGGTGGTGGTGGAGGTAGCGGTAGTGGAGGTAGCGAGGGCGGTAGAAGGTGGTGGAGGTGGCGAAGAAGGTGGAGGAGAGGAGGCACAGCGCGAAACGGCGACGGCGACGGGACGCGAAGGAAGGAGGTGCAGCGGCGGTGGGAAGGGGCTGAGGAGGGGGCAGGGGACGAGAGGCGATGGGTAGTTGTCTTACGCGGGAACGGAGGGGAGGTAGAGGAAGGGGCAAAGTTACTTTCCCGGAGAAATAAAAGTTAATGGAGTTCTCCCTACCTACCTACCTACCTACCTACCTCCCTCCCTCCACCCTCCCTCTCCCTCCCTCCCTCCACGTCTCTCCGCCGCCTTTTTCCTCTTCTCTTCCATCTCCTTGCCGGCGTACAACTTTCACGAAAGTTATTATATCTTAATTTACTATTGAACATTATCTGAAATTTCTCCAGCGTTTCCGTTTTAATGCGTTCGAGAACACCAACGCGGGGAATACTACGCGTAGCTTATATAACTTTGCTGCACAGGAGAAGATATTAACGTCGTCCAACGTCGTCGTTTGTTTTCCTCCTTGTTCCTGGTGAATGGTAGAGAGAGAGAAA